AGCTTGATAATTTTCAAGTGAACTAGTATAAACATACATTGTTCTTTACTTCCTGTTCTTACTTATTTTTATTATTAAGAGTGAAGGAAAAAGAATTTTAACTTAAAGGGGAATATTTTTAAAGAAAAGTTTTTGTTTTAAAAAAACCCAATTCAACCCTCCCCCCTTTCTTGCGTTTTTCACACATTCAATTGGCATCAGAGCTCCGGTTCCGAGGAGATAAAAAGTTTGAATTTTTATCAACACTTAACAGTATCCAGTACCGATCCAGTGTGTGTGAAAAACCAATGGCTACATCTACTTCCACTGTTGATAATAGGGATAATGATAGAGATCACTATAGTTCAAAACCTCATATGTTTGATGGGGAGAAATTTAACTATTGGAATGATAGAATAGAAAGTTATTTTATGGCATATGACTTGGGTCTATGGGACTTGATAGTTGATGGTTAAACTTACCCAGTAGATGATAAAGGTCATAAGATTGTAAGAAGTGAAATGAAAGAAGCACAGAAGAAAGTATGTAGAAATCACTACAAAGCAAGAACCATTCTTCTAAGTGCTATTTCATATAATGAATGTGATAAAATCACAGATTGAGAGACTGCAAAGTCTATTTTTTATTCTCTTCAAATGACACATGAAGGCAACGCACAGGTAAAAGAAACAAAGGTTCTGGCCTTAATTCAAAAGTATGAAGCCTTCAAGATGGAAGACGACAAGTCTGTGGAAATGATGTTTTCAAGATTTCAGACTCTTGTGGAAGGACTTAAGGTTTTAAATAAAGGTTACTCCACTACAGATCCTGTTAAAAATATTATCAAAAGTATGCATGTCAAATAGAGACCAACGGTAACTGCTTTAGAATTAGCAAAGGATCTGAACAACACCTCTCATGAGGAGCTGATTAGCTCTTTAAGGAGTCATGAAATAGAATTGGAACAAGATGAACCTCAGAAGAGGGTAAAATCAATTTCTCTAAAGTCTACTTCTGGAAAAACCAAGGCTTTTCAAGCTAAGGAAGAATCATAAAAATCTGAATTCACATGACATTTTTGTTTCCATACATGTAATCTTTTATGAGACAACTTTTCCTTTCAAAACATATACTCATACCACTTTACCTTCTAATATTGAACCATCCACCTCTAATATCACTTCTCCTTTAAATGATCATCATGTACATGCCCTTATGACTTCTTCACCTGACCTTACAGTTGAATCCACACCTGACCAACCAAGTTCCCCTTCCTCTGATAGTAATTCCCCAACTGTTCTTCTTGAACTTCACAATTCTCATATCTTACCTACTCCTCCTCCTTTAGACTACTCTACCAATGAAGTTCCTACTTCCACAATGCCTTTGAGAAAATATGTTAGAACTATAAAACCACCCTCTTATTTACAATATTTTCATTGTAACTTTATCATGAATCATAATCATGTTTCTCATAATCTTGTTACATGCCCCTTATCACATGTCTTATCATATCAACATTGCACACCTTCTTACCAGGCTTTTTATTGTTCTATTTCCACTAACATTTAACCTAAAACTTATAAACAAGCCTCTCAACATGATTGTTAGACACAACCATGGAAATTGAGTTACTTGCTCTTGATCAGAATCATACCTAGAGTTATTGTTGGCTGCAGGTGGGTATACAAAATCAAGCATAGAGATTATGGCACTATTGAAAGGCATAAATCAAGAATTATAGCCAAAGGCTACACACAATTAGTGGGAGTTTATTTTTTTTATGCATTCTTTCATGTTGCTAAACTTACAACAGTTTGTGTTCTTCTTACTTTGGCTGCAATAAAAAATTGACATCTTCCAATTAAATGTCAATAATGTATTTTTACATGGAGACTTAAATAAAGAAGTATACATGGAATCACCTTAGAGTAACCCTATTTCTCATTCCCCACCTCCTCAAGTCTGCAAACTACATAAATCCATATACGGTTTGAAATAATCCAATTGACAATGGTACTGGAAACTGTCTCAATCTCTTATCACCCTGAGATACACCCAATCTCAAGCGGATCATTCCCTCTATATTAAGTCTAAAAACAGTTCATTCATAACACTTTTGGTTTATGTAGATGACATAGTGCTTACAGGTGATTGCCTTATTGAGATTTTTCAATTAAAAACTTTCCCTGGTGACTAGTTTCGCATTAAAGATCTTGGCTCACTAAGATTTTTCCTTGGCCTTGAGATTTCTTGATCAGATGAAGGTATTATTGTCAACCAGAGAAAGTATACCCTTGAACTTCTTCAAGACACAGGTTACTTAACACCCAAGCCATCCCTCATTCCCTTTAATCCCACAACCAAACTTTCTCTAAATAAAGGTTCCCCTCTTTCATACCCTATATCATATCGTCGCCTCATTGGTAGACTCATATATCTCACCGATACTCGACTAGATATTTCATTTTTGTCTAACACTTGAGCCAATTTATTTCAAAACCTCTCACACCTCATTCCAATGCAGCCTTAACTATTCTCAGATACCTCAAATCCTCATAAAACCAAGGTATCTTCTTTTCTACTACTGCTCCCATAAAACTCCATGGTTTTGCTGACTCGGATTGGACATATGATGTCCTGACTTCCGCAAATCAATCACTGGCTAGTGTGTTTTCCTTGGAACTTCTCTCATCTATTGGAAATCAAAGAAGCAAAACACCGTCTCCAGATCCTCCACTAAGGCAGAATATCGGGCCCTTGCTTCTCGGACTTGTGAACTTCAATGGTTGCATAACCTCATCTCTGATTTTCATATCACATTACATATGCCTTCATCCATCTATTGTTATAACAAGCCAACCATCTACTTAGCACACAACCCCACCTTTCATAAGAAAAGTAAACACATAGAGATTAATTGTCATGTCATTCGCGAGAAAATTCAAAACAAGCTTATTCAACTTCTTCTAGTCTCCAGCTCCAATCAACTTGCAGATGGCTTCACTAAGCCTCTTCATCAAGGCCTTTTTTCTTTTTAACATGTCCAAGTTGAGTCTATGTAATCTACATAATCCAACTTGAGGGGATGTTAAAATACTCACTTACTTGTTATGTAAGTTTTATGTATTTTCCTCTTGCCTTGTTTTCAATTAGTTAGTTAGCATGTTGGTTACTTGTTAGTTAAATTTGTTAACCAACTTCTCTTGATGTACTCTATATAAACAACTTCTCTATTGTATTCATTATGCAAGTTTTACCTGGATTTCTTCAATGAGAATGAGTACCTTAACTTATAAGTTATCATGTTAACAAGAAGTCTGAGACGTGACACATATAAACATACTCTCCAAAAAAATGCTTTCAGACATTGTGTGTTAGGAAGAATCTTTCCAAACAAGGTCAAAATAAAAATTTATGAAATCCCTAAAAAAAATAGTCAATTGAAAATTTCCCTTAAAATAACCATAGTGTTACAAACAATACACAATCGAGAGGTAAAAAATCATATTCAAGTTTAAAATACACATTTAGATAATATAAAAGTTAAGATTAAATATATTTTTATCTTTTTCAATGTACTAACTTTTAATTTAATCGTTTTAACTTTGATCTCTCTAAATTGTATTCTCTATTTTTTTAGAGAGAGTGGCTCGGAGGTTTTTCGAAGACTATTGATATTTGTAGTGCATATGTAACTGAGTTGTGGGACGTTTTTGAAGGACTTCAACATGCGCATAGAATAGGATTCCAAAAAATTACTTTGACATTGATTCTCAACAACCCTAGTAAGAATATGGGCAGGAATTTGATTTCCAGAATTAAAGCTTTTCAATATCAAGGCAAAGAGTTAGTTTTCAAGCACCTCTATCGTGAAGCTAATATGTATAGAGATGCATTAGATAAACATATAATTCTTCTCTAGGAAATTATTTATAATTTTGATACGTGTCCACCTTTCATTCAACATCTTTTAGATATCGATTTGTAAGAAAATCCTGTTTCCCGCTTAGTCCATGTTATCAAAAAAAAAATTATATTAACTTAGTAATATTTTAAGGCGTTAACAATGACATGTCTTCTAAAAAAAGTCACATGAAATGTGCGATTTGAAATTTTGAAGAAGATTTTTAAAATAACTAAAACTGAAAATTTGTATATTTAAAAGCATAAACATAATTAATGAAAATTCCTAATGATAATGACTATTGAAATTTGTATAAACATATTCTAATAGTACTTTAAACTTTATATTAGTTATATATTGTTGACTAAAGATTATTTATGATCTTGAGTTATCCATGAGAATTGCTCCCACATATATCATCATATTTTTCTTGTTATTATGACTCTCTTTTATATATTTTCTATACCTTACCTACTAGTGCAACTTGACTCCTTCTAGTGCCTGATTTATTTATGTATTTAATGTTTTGGTATAACCAAACAGAAGAGTAAAGGACACAGCCAACCTAACACCTTACTAGAAGAAGCTTGAACAAGATAAATATAACTATCAATTTCATCGAATTAAATCTTGATATGTAATATTTGATATTTAAAAGTTGAAAGAACATGATCATTAAGCATACAATAATTGAAACACTGAATTTAGTTTTAAAAACTAACAGTGTCTGAATTGAACAAACAAAAAGAATGATTTTATGTTGATGAGGGAAAAATACAACACAGTAAAAGAAATCTTCCGTATTTATCTTCTCTAAAAGGGACAAATACAAAAGAGTATTTCACAGAATATTCACAGAATATTTCTTAATCACCAGGCATGGCTAACAACTTCAATAATTAACATTAATCACTGCTTTCTTCAAAATGCTAATCATCCAACTGATATATAATAAGGAGATGAAAGAGGAGAAAAGAATTAGGCTGGAAATTAAAAATAAGAAGAAAAAAAACCAATAAATAATGGCACCAGAATAAAAAAAGAGGAGCATATTCATCATCCTCCATCTATTTAATTCACACTTCCAGAGCTAAGGCAGTAAAACTAGCAGAGACTAATCTGTGACCATGTCGGCCACGCCGTTCTGTGCAGCAGCTTCTGCAAGCCTCTTCCAGGTCAATTCCCTCTGCTCTGCCTCATCTTTGGCTTTTGCCTGTTTCTCTGCATATTGCCTCTGGCACTCTTCGAATAATTCTGCATCCATTTCGATAAACATTTTGCGAACATTCATGGTCAGCCCGTGAACTGCCTGGTTCCAGTGACCCTCAATATTTCTCTCAAATGCTTCGAATATTATTGGTAATATTACAGTCCTGTTTTGAGCAATTAAGGTCACAATACGCTCGTTATTCCATAAAAAGAGGGCTCGCTCTGCAACCTGCATATCAAGTTTGCCAAAGCAAAAACTTATGAGAGAACATTTTAACAGTGAAATGCTATTAACTGAAAAAACAAAGTTCAGTTCCAACTGATAATTTCAACACAGCACAGGTAAAAGACATATATAACACCTTAGTGATTTGACCTGTAGATTTTATTGGTCATCCTCTACCCCTAACCAATGAACTACCATCCCCACTCGCATAACTAGTGCTTCTACAAGTCTTCTCCAAACATGATCACATCACTTGATGTGAGACTCATTCTATCAATTTCTTCCATAATAGGTTCAACTCAAACTATCTCTCAACAAATCTACTTCCAATCTTATCTAGTCTTCTAGTAATGAAGCCTAATAAATCTACTTCCAATCCTATCTAGTCTTCTAGTAATGAAGCCTAATAATTTCCAGACGGGTCTAAGCCTTCCTGCAAAATGTATCATTACACGTCTACTTTGTTTACAGTTTTACAATACTCACTACGTTTGTAGATAAATATCTCATATATCACTTTTAAGTCCCTCAAAAAGTTTCCTTCAAAGAATGGTGTCCTCCTAAAAATTCGCATCCACATTTTTGGTCCCTCTTGCTAAAATCATCGCTAAAACCGTCGCTAATTCAGTCTCTAAGTTGTAAAAACCGTCGCTAAATTGCAAGAAGGACCAAAAGTGTAGATAAAAAGTTTTAGGAGGACCATTATTTAAAGAAAATTTTTTAAGGGACTAAAAACAAATATAAAATATTTAATAGGACCAGAAATATATTTAACCCATTATACTTTTATAGTTTAGAGACCAAATTGAAGAAGAGAATGGTAGTTTAGGGATGGATCATATTGATGGTTTATTCATTTAAGATTACATAAAATAAAACAGTATTCGAAATCCCCTCGTTTTGGACGGGAGTTAAAATTGGCTTAAGAGTGATTTCGCTCCCTTCCCCTCAAACCAAAGAAACCCTAAATGCTAGCTGTTAAGGGGAAAGAACCAAACCGCAAACCACAAATGTATTCCACAAAGCATTGCATAATATTCAATGTCGGACCTAGGCACCCCATTATACACAAGAATTCGGAGAGGAAGATTGAAAGTACTAGAGAATGAAATGGTCTTTTACAACATGGATAAGTAATAATAGTCATTTAATAACTCTATTCCTCTTCTTCCTCTTTTATTTGTTTGGTTTTACATTAAATATATGCTTTATAGATTATTCATATAATTAGTCTAGAAAATAGTCAAATAACAATTATCCCATTTTTGAAGTCTGCTGCTCCGCTATCTCGAATTGATAACTCCGCTTTTCTGTTTTATCTAATTCATTCAGATGTGTGGAGTTCATTAAATATTTCAATTATATAAGGTGTTCATTGGTTTTGTAACCTTCATTGATTATTGTACTCGAGTTAATCATGTCTACTTAATTAAACAAAAAATTTGAAAACAGTTGTGTTTCCTCAATTTTTCCCCTTGATTAAAAATCAGTTTGGCACTAATAGACTTCGGTATAATAACGACTTACTTTAATCATAATCTTAATTCTTTCTGCCAAAATAAAGGTATCATTCACGAGTCTTTGAGTTAAAACACCCCTACAAAATAGCATTGGTGAGAGAAAAAATGGGTATTTGTTAGACCAAACGTGTACTATTATTATATTTCAAAATAAAGTTCCCATTTTAACTGCAATGTCGTATCTCATAAATCGTTTGCCTTCTATTGTCCTTGCCTCCAAACTCCTATGGAAGTTTTATCCCCATTCTATCCTAACGTATTCACTTAGTAATCTCACCACTCTAGGAGTCTTATCACCATTCTATCCTAAGTGTACATCGTTCCTCCATATCCATAGTAATGGTAGAGCAAAATTTGATCCTAGAGCGTCAAAATGTGTCTTTATAGGATATTCTTCCACCCAAAAGGGTTACAAATGTTATCATCCACCATCTCATAAATTTTGACTTTCGAGATGTCACTTTTCATGAACAAGAAAGTTAATTCACTCAAACTCATCTTCAAGGGGAGAATATAAGAATGGAAGATGAATCCCTACTACATCCTGATCTTACTCTTGAATCAGAAGTTGAGGTTGAAACTAGTAGTGACAATGTTGAAACTGAACTTTATTCTGAAAAAGATGAAAATGTTGAAGTTGATATAAGATATGAGAAGAATTTAATATATACAAGGAAGACCATTCCTAAATCTACTCATATCCAAGAGACGAATCCAACATTACATGAGGTAAATTTTGTTGGCCCTTAAAATCCAGGATTCAATTTTTGAATTTTCTCATGAACAAGAACCAAAATCCAACTCAATTCCAACACCACTACCATCACACTACAAAGATTTACAACTTCCAATTGCCCTTAGGAATCCGACATTACATGAGGAAAATTTCATTGGCCCTTAAAATCTAGGATTCAATTTTTGAATTTTCTCATGAACAAGAACCAAAATCCAACTCAATTCCACCACCACTACCATCACACTACAAAGATTTACATCTTCCAATTGCCCTTAGGAATCCGACATTACATGAGGAAAATTTCGTTGGCCCTTAAAATCTAGGATTCAATTTTTGAATTTTCTCATGAACAAGAACCAAAATCCAACTCAATTCCACCACCACTACCATCACACTACAAAGGTTTACATCTTCCAATTGCCCTTAGGAATCCGACATTACATGAGGTAAATTTCGTTGGCCCTTAAAATCTAGGATTCAATTTTTGAATTTTCTCATGAACAAGAACCAAAATCCAACTCAGCTCCACCACCACTACCACCACACTACAAAGATTTACATCTTTCAATTGCCCGTAGGAAAGATACCAGAACATGTACCAAAAAGTCACTTTACCCCTATCCAACTACCCATGCTTCAAACACTTCTCACCTACCTATAAAGTATTTCTCACAAATATAAACACTATAACACTACCTACCTCTCTATCTAAGGCATTGTCTGACAGTAAATAGAAACAAGCATTGGATTTGGAGATGAAGGCATTAGATAAGAACAAATACTTGAGAATTGATTTCTCTACCAAATGAAAAGAAATTTATAGGGTGCAAATGGGTATACACTGTTCAATACTAGGCGGGGGGATCTATTGAGAGGTACAAAACAAGATTGGTAGCCAAAAGATTCTCTCAAACCTATGGAGTACATTATTTAAAGACTTTTACTTTTCAATTGCAAAAATGAATATTGTCAGGGTGATATTATCTTTAACAGCTAATTACAATTGGAATTTATCCCAATTTAATGGTGTATGTGAATGACATTATAGTCGCATGTAGTGATGAGGAAGGGTAACAACTATTGGGCAAACACTTAACCAAAGAATTTAAGATTAAGACCTTGAGAAAATTGAAATATTTTCTAAGAATTGAAGTTTCTCACTCTAAGAAATGAATTTTCATATCTCAATAGAAATACATTATTGATCTTCTACAAGAGATTGGCAGGACAGCATACAAGCCTGTAAATACACCAATTGATCCAAGCGTAAAACTGAAAAACACAGAAGAACATGTTGCGGTTCATAAGAAAATGTATCAGAGATCAATCGGAAAACTTATGTATCTCTCACATATTAAACTTGATGTTGCTTTTGGTATTAGCTTAGTCAGTCAATTCACGCACCGACCAGCAGAGATTCGTTTAAAAGTTGCACTCCGAATTGTACAATATTTGAAAGGAACACTTGGTAGAGAAGTTTTGTTTGAAAGAATTGAGAGTGTGGGTCTTGAAGCATAGACAGATGCTTACTATGCATGGTCAATTGTGAATAGGAGATCAACTACAGGGTATTACACTTTTCTAGGTGGAAATCTTGTGACTTGGAAGAGAAAAAACCAAAGTGTGTTATCAAGATTTATTGCTAAATCAGAGTTCACGACAATGGCACAAGGCATGTGTGGATTACTGTGGCTAAAAATAGCCCATAACCCAGTGCAACATGATAGACCCATACATATTGAAGTTGACACTTGACAGACACTTTATTAAAGAAAAAATAGATAGTGGTCTTATTTGTACTCCATATATATCCTCCCAAGGCAACCTTGCAAATCTTCTAACGAAAGGGTTGAAAAACAATAACATTAAAAGAATTGTTTCCAAACTGAAAAATGATAGATATTTATTCACCAGCTTGAAAGAGTGTTCTAAATAATTTATTTTAATGTTGTTATTTTTACTTTTATTAATAGTAATTTATGTTTGGACCTTTAGTTAGACCCATTAGGTAAGAATACTCTAAATAAAGGGGTTAGAGGTTGAATATTCCATGTATCAAAATAATATTCATTTCTTAACAATTACCATCCAAAACCACCAACTGAGTTATATAACTTATACGGAAGGAAACGGGTTAAATAAAGGAATATTGGATCTCTATACATAGAATGTGATATATCAATAGTCAGTAGATTTTTAGGAGAAATTACACTCATCTCCTCTAAGGTCTATTAGAATGACACAGACACCCCCTCTAGTTTTAAAACATACACTAACCTCCCATAAGTTCTCATCAAATAGACAAACACTTTGCATCCTCATTAACATACCATAATAAATTTGACATATACCAACGAAATCGTATGTAAGTATTAACTATACCTACGATTTTTTGACTGCCCCTAAAAACTTTTGTAGGTATATGTCAATTTTCTTTTGGTGAAGAGAGTTGTTTGTCTATTTGATGAGAACTTAGGGGAGGTTAGTGTAGAGAGGGGAGTTAGAGTCATTTTAATAAACCTTAGGGGAGGTGAATGTGATTTCCCCTAGATTTTAATATATTTAAAGACAAGATCACAACACATGGGATTTCCAAAAGTAGGAAGTAATATGCTTAGTTTGAGTAGTACTTCTCTCATAAAGGAGCAACACTCTTTATAAATGTTTAATGGGGGATCTTGGAGAGAAGCATGTTCAATTATGCTGGAAGTTTAGAGCACCAATTATCTGCAGTAGAAATATTCCCTATTTCTCTTTCATTGAGAGAAAAACATAGGTCATCCACTCTGATGATGAAACTTGAGTTTCCTAGAGAACGAGATCATGGGTGTTTCTTATGTTTTTTTTCAAGCTATTTGTTTTTATTTCAAGAACATAGGTTGTATGACAAGCATGTCACGGCATAGTTTAAAAAGGATAAAGGAAATAGTAAGAAAGAAAGAAACCTACAACTCTGAGATTTCTTAAATAATTTGAAAGAAAAATCACAAACATCTCATTAGAGTTATTAAACAGAAAATTATAACTATAACCCAAACCTAAGTTGGCACCCATATAATTTTTGTTTCACGTCGATGTCTTTTTCACAATTTTAACAAGATACAAACTATCGCACTTAAATTTCCATAATTGATGCAACAACCAAAGCCAAAACAAAAGCCTTTTCTTACTAGGTGGAGTTGCTAAGTCAGCTACATGGATAAAATCATAATGTCCCATAATGAATTAAGTCAAGAAATGCATCATTAAATTTAGATTCCTCTTTAAGATTTGGTCCGAGTTAACTTGGTCTCCCTCAATATCTAATTATTGGACTACTCATCTAATCTACCTCACTCCAGAATTAACCCCCTTAAGATGAGATTCTAACAAAAAAAATTCTATAACGGGAGCTATAATTCCATAATTAATAAGCAAACCAATAACCAGCAATTGAATTTCAGGTCCAGTTAACTTTGCAACTCTAGTACTCAGTTTTGAAGCAGAAGATGAACAATAATGACTTCAAAAACCCTGACCATGCAAAAAAGTATGTGCATGGGCCTAATTAAGTTTCCAATTTTATGTGAGAATTAATGGAAAGAAGCAAATTAAGTCAGACGGGAATTTAAAGCATCTTCTCACTTCGATAGGTAATGACATAAACAGAAACTAAATACTACAAATGTACACAACATAAAAGAAAGGAGAAGCAGAAAAGGAATGTGACAATTAAAGCTAATAAAAAGACATAGATTAGGTGCATAATTTATCATAACATAGAAAGTAACAGTTCAACAAACAACATTGCAAATTCATAACCAAAAATAATGAAAGAAAGCAAGTCAAAATTAAACAAGTCCCAACTATCACAACTATAAAAGGCAAAAAATCCACCAACCTGAAAGGAACTGTTGAGGCAGCGAGAAATCTGTTTGAAAAGTTGAACCATGCAGCGTTGGAATTCAGCAGCCTGTGTAGCCTCCAACACTTCCTCAAGTTCTCCAAGGAAAAGAATTTCCTTCTGACAATTCGTGAGAGGCCAATACTTCAACAAGCCCCTAATAACCGTATCAGCCAGCTTGAAATCTTTCTCCACAAACTGAGTTATGCAGTAAGACAACTGCGGGTGGTACATAACAACCGATTTAGGTTTATGCAGAGGTAATAGCGCCCTAACAAGAAACAACTTATGCTCCTCTTTCATGGGCAAAGCAAACCCATTAATGATGCTACCAAGAATCTCCAAAAGCTCCCCAATACCACAGTGTCTCTCAGTCTCATATATAAACCGATAAAAAATATTGTTAATTGCTTTCCTAATAAATGGCCTATGAACCATGAATTTCCCATATATACGGTGGAGAATGGTTTTCAAATATTCGCGCTCACGCGGGTCTTCAGAATCAAACAAATCAAGCAACTTGAGCACAAAGGAATGATCAATGTAACGTTTGGCAACCTTGGTGTCAGTATCAGAAGAAACCACATATCTAAGGAGAAGCTCATAAACAAGCTGCAAGTGAGGCCAAGCTGGCTCCAAGCTCGGCTCATCCTCTTCCGGATCAGTAGGCTCTTGACCGGTGTTCTCGTGAGACGCCGGAGGCAAGCATCGGAAAATATTGATAGATATCATTCTAATCATCTCTTCCTGACTACTCTCAGATATCTTCCCAGAACCTGATTGAATAAACTCCACTAGCTCCATCAAAGCTTGCCGCTTGATCTCTTTCTCCCGAACATTCTTCATTGTATCCGTAAAGTCAAGCGAGAAGCAGCATATGTGAAGCTTCTTGAGGAAGAGATTCTGCTTATCCGAAACCGGCACGTCACGGAACAAAGGAGCGGGTTCCATTGTACCGGAAGCTGGAGTCATAGCCATCGCGGCGGAATTAGCAGCAGAGGTTCCTCCAGCACCGCCACGTGAGGCGTGGTTAACGACAACAGGCGCCGAGTTGCGGTTGTTCGGAGCAGGATCATGGGAGTCCGATTTGGAGGGCTTCTTATGCCCTCCTTTCATGATTTTCTTGAACATTTTATCAAAACAACCTAAGAAACCCTAAACCTAGAATTCGATTCACAAATAGTGCTCAATTGTTGCAGCGAGTGGTTCTGTAAGATGCATGGAGAAACACGATTCATCGGAAGCTGTTAATCCATGGATAATTTCCTCGATTTTCGAACCAATTTTCGAATCGACGGAAACGGATCTGAAAGCGAAAACCGCTATGAGGAAGGTGAAGATGGCGCTTGATTGGTAGAGATGGAAAGCTATGGATCATAGTGAGGAATCATCGGAGAGGGATCGCCGGAGGAAAAAGATCGGTCGGAGATGTTCCGGCAGGGAAAAACCTGAGATAGAATTAGAAAGACGGAGAAACACACAGTAACACCAATAGAAAGAGAACGATAATTAAGGAATTGAGATTAGACAACAAAAAATGTGATTGCAGATTACAGTAATCACCTTTTAGATTAATTTTCTTTTTTCTTCAATTTAAGAACTAGTTGTGTGTATGAGACATAGATTAGAGATAAATCTGAATATTTTATTTATTTTAGTCATTAAATTGAAGAGAAAAAAAATATTGATTTTTTAAAATTTTTCTAATGATATAATTATGATGAATGAATTGGATAATGGGGAAATGGATTAAGTAAGAGGGATGATTGAAAACCACAAGTGTCATGGAGTTGGTGTGAGGGTATACGTGGCTTATAAGTCAAAAGATTGAAGTTAGGATGCCATGTGGCATATTATTGTGTGTGGTATCAGTGTGAGACATGTTATGTGAGTTTTTGGTCCAACCAAAATTTATGTCATAATTTTATGAGGTGAGACTGAAAAGGTTTTTGTGAAAAAGGAAACAGGTTGGATTCTGCTTCACTTGTCTGTCAGCGAAAAATTAAATGGAGTTTTTAATTAGGAAACTTTGGTTTGGTATGGTTTTTATAGCTGAAATTTGGGTCGAGAAAATGAAGTTAAACTCAACTCTATCCGGAGGAGGAGATTCAGGACTCTAAATTAGGATATGCAGATCTTTTTAATAAACAAATGTAAAATTTCATTTCAGATAGATTTGTTACAGTGAATTGAATTGTATAATATATGTTTTTTCTTATTTATAAATATTTATTATTGATTTCATTTTATAAATATATTGGTATAATGATAAAAATATATCAATAAAAAAAAAGCAGATTTGATAGATATGTTTCATTGTATTAGAATAATTATAAAAATCAATATTTGTTTATGCATATCAATTTATACAGGGTGTTAATATAGATTTATTTTTTCATGAAAAATTGAAATATTATTTTTTTTGGAAAAAGAAAAACTTTTATTATCCAAAAATTAAGGAAGTATAGCGCGATCCTAAGATCCAACTGAAACCAAAACAATCAAGGGGATAAAGGAAAGAGTAAAACCTATTACATCATAAAATTAATAATATGCAGCTTTAGAACTTTATTAAACCAGTTCCTAAACACTATCTTGTAAATAATATCAAGAGTGGCACTCTCAATATCTATTTGTCTGCCAAAGGTAATATCATTACGAAAAGCCCACACTCCATAAACAGTTTCAGCCGCAGCAAGTTTAAGAAGAGAGGCCCTCAACCTTTTCCTCTACTATGCAAAGTAAGCCGATTAAGAATCTGGTCCCAACTGTTTAGAACATTATTCAAATTCTTCTGTAATGAGAAAGGAAACAACTATGAATACAACATTGGAATCAGCTCAAATGAGGTTTCCTCTTATTATGAAATTGCTGATTGGGAACTATGAGAGTTGTATTCACCATAGGGGTGACAGAAAAAACATGTTGTTGTTGGTGATGATAATCTTCCCTTCTTCGGGGTCTCCTTGGTTCTCGCTGTGGTTGTGGCTGATTTGTAGGACTTGGGTTAACCGATGGCATAACAGAAGCAACTTGTGGATGTGGGTAACTCCTTTTTCTACATATGAGTTCCCTTTGTCTTTCTTGTGAAGTATCAATGGAGTCTTGCTCTCTTTTCTTGGCGAAGTTATCACCATACTTCTTCGTATTATCGGTCAAGTTACCATTCTCAGACAAATGTTCCTCTCGGACATCTTTTTTTTTAGAAACGCTTCCACATTTGCCTCTTCAGAGAAATCATTAGGTGTATTGACGACCACCTTCTCATGAAAGAAGGACTTAGGAGTGTTTATGAAGACCATTCCCATCTCTTCTTTCCTTATAGGAGGATTGACTTAGGCAACGACTAAAGTTTCAACCAAAACAGTTAGATGCTCCATACTAGATTTCAAAGTAATTATCACCTTACGAAGTTCAGAAATCTCTTGCTTGATATTTTCCATCATTCTTTTAGCGCGAGTGTTGTACTACTGGACCAAAGGGAAAATAAGACTCGGGAATGACTTTCGAGAGTGAAACAAAAATATAGAATGATGCATGATATATGCAAATGGCAAGTTCAATTCATTTCTAAGGACCTCAAATTTTGATTCAAGCTTCAAGCGAGAAATAATTAACAACAAAATATGACAAATGAGTTCAGTACAAAGTTAAGAGCCTAAAGGCTACAAAATACAAAGCCAAGAGATCCCAATCAATAGACCTGGTGGTGATCATCAAAAACACAAATCATAAAGCCTAAGATGTTTACCCAAATTCTACATCAGCCAGGGTACCCCAAACTAGATTCTCATCATTCCACTCTTAGGCCTTTTTTTTAAAGAGATCCTTCATTGCTTTGCTCTTTGGTCTCTCAATTAGCTCCTTGATAAGTACATTCATTCTATTGATAATGTTTTCTAGATGATCAATCTCTTCTTAAAGCTGAAGGCCGTAAAAATCTTCTTCCTGATCTTCATCTTCAGACTTCGTGTCCTCAACTTGAACTGACATTCAAACATTGTAATTGATGGTATTCCTCTTTCTAGTGTCCATTTATGAGTAATGAGCTTGATACGAGAATCAAAGATAAGGTTCCACGGAAATGAAATGATCATGTATGTCACAAGCATGTCATATTGTTTATGAGTGCATGAATGTACGGCTATGCAACAAACACATACATGGTTCAAAGGTTTAACATCACGAGCATGGAGTCAAAGGGTGAGAATCAACCCACAAGGTATGTACTAAGGGTTTATCACCTTCCAAACAAGGTTCTATGGAAATCCCAGAGTCTACGCTCTTCCTTTGGATATTACCAACGTCCCAATTACTCGATAATTAGTAATATTCGTAGGAAAAACTCGTCGAAGTGCAGCATCGCGTGACAACTACTTATGGATTACTCTCTCATAGAGTCCGCACTACATCTAAAAAGGCCAAGATGGGTTAAGGGTTTTATGTATTCTCAGCTTCGCAGGCTCCCAGGTCGAAAGCAGCAATGTCTTCCCAATTACTCGGTAAACATATACTGCAGTCAAATGGGCCTCCACTGAGTAGGGGATCTCATGCCTCATTTTTCTGGATTACTCCCTCAAAGTTAACATGACTATACCGCCCGTCCTAATCTTAAGTGTAACTTAGTCCGGGTATAGGACTTGTCCTTTGTAATCAACACCCAAAGAAACCACAAAATAACACATATAAGCACACAAGCAATAATAACGAAAACATATATAACAAATTAGGTTTAACCCACTTAGAGTATTTATAATTCCCTAGCAGAGTCGCCAATTCTATAGCAGTTAAAATCAGAGATCAAGCTATTTAATTAACTTGACTCGCAAAAGCAAGAGTCTCCACCACGCTTTATTGTTTCCAAGGTAAATGGGAAAAGTGCGAAATAAAATTCATAAATATGCAAAGTAAGTGCAATACCAAAAGTAAAGAAAAATACAATGCATTTGAAAGAGATCGAAGGTTCGGGGGTTGGTTATACAAAGGGAAGGTACTAGCATCATATGTATCTATAGTATCCTATGGGAACCTTTTGAAATATTTGTTTTTGGCTAAAGGGTTTGTTTGCAAAAGAGTGTGGAGATGAGAAAAAGAATTTTTGAAAATACAACAATATAATGTCGAGGTTTTGGTTTTAAAGAGGTGAACGTTTGAAAAAGGTTTTGAAAGGTTTTAACTAAAGGAAGAAAAATATGATAGACAAAAATGTAAAGACGCACAATGACATAAAGTCAACGAGAGGATCCTTTCCCTTGGATTTAATCAAAATCAAAATATAAAGATCGAATAGTCGAAAGGAAATTAAATGACTAACAATTAAATGATTGAACGATTAGTACACAAAAATTAATTAAATCAATTGAAAATATTTAATAAAACTAATAGATTAATATTATTTAATTTAGGTAAAATCAATTGATCAAATTAATTGTCATTATAAAGTAAAAACAAATAAAAACTAAACAATTAATAATATAAAAAAAACTGATTAAAAGAAATAATAACAAGAAAACAAGTAGACATGAGTTAGAAAATAAATAGCGATAAGGGGGGTGTGTATGGAAAATCGGTGGGTGTAAGCAGGCCCAAGATATGAGTAATATATATAAAAAAAATTAAAAACACACACAAAATTGCAGTTGGGCCGAATCGGGTCAGGCCCAGACCTGTTGCCCTGTAACACTCAAATTGGGTTAGAAAAACCCTAAAGGAAAAAAAAAAATCCAGGTTCCAGAATCATCAACTTTCTCTCTATTCTAAAGTGATATCCATTGATTTCTTCTACTTCTCTCGACTCAACTCTCATGTTTGAATAACAATATCAACAACTTCTCATCTCTCGCTCCCAACCTATTTCTCTTTCTCTCTCAAAATCGAACAACAACAACAATCCTGCTCAAACGATTTACACGGTTTCTCTTAGGATCCATTTTCACGTCTTCACCCTCTTTTCAAGGTTCTACCAACAACAACAACAAAATCTTGGTGCTCTCTCTCATTTTCAAACCACAATTCGAAATATCAGACAAAAAATAACTTACACACACATCAATTGATTCAAGACACAAATCCAAGCAACGATATTATGAGAATAGGATACCAACCGGAAATAATGGTAACGCTAAATAAATACGTTGTGCTTCATCAGCGTGTTGAGTCGAATAATGACGTATGAAAGGATCTTCGGACATAGCTTGTCTAGTGGTGAAGAAAATAACAAATTTGATCGGCTTATGTTGTTACATGAAGGTGATTAAAACATGGTGTTTGGAGTGAATCCGGCACAAATATTGTTTGTGGATCAATTGAAGGTGGGGTTTATAACAGTGTTTGAAGGTTGGAGGGAAGAGATTGCAGTGCGGTATGAACAAAAGTTTTGGAGGTATTTTTCTCTAAGTTTCAAAAATGATTTTTGTGCCTTTGGAAGTTGTTGTGTATTTTTGTATGCAGGTAAGATTGAGAAGATGTATTTTTTGAGAATGTTGAGGTTTAAGGGTTGAAGTTATGAAGGATGTTGCATTATGAAGTTTATGCAGAAGTTTTTGTAAGTGATTTTTTTTTAGTGTATTGCTTTTTATTTTGATTTTCTCTGTGTGTTTCTGTTGAACAAACCTCTCCTGTGTATTGAACAAATTTGTAGGGTATCCTCTGTGAAATTTCCGGTCCCTTTTTTATGTTATGAATTGGTTATTTTATAGTGAAAGTATATGGGATTTTAGTGGGGAAAGGAATAACATTTTGAATAATTGTAGTGTTTTGTTACATTGCCTTTCCATAGAATTTTTTTTGTTGCCAATTTAGTGTAAATATTTGGACAACAAGAGAGCAGGACAACAGGATTTACATTGTTGTATTTGGCCATTTTGCAGACTGGTTTTGATGCAGGTTTGGGACAGCAATAACACAGTAGTAGCTGCATGTTTTTGGACTATTGGAGCAGTAACAATGGACAACAACAAGGGCCAAAATAGTAGCAGGTTTATGTAAGGTTTATGGACTGGTTGGTGCAGAATTTTTGGACTATAATGTTTGGTCACTTTGTGGACAACGTGTTTTTTTTTTGTTTTGCTTGGCAGAATTGTGGATAGATTTTGGTTTTGGACTGCAAGGTTTTTTGCTTTAAGTAGAATAGGTTTAACATAATATCCCTTTTATAAAATACTTGAAAACCTCTTTGTAAATCTTCTTGAAGAAGTTAAGATCAAATGATATTTCTACGAATTTCTTTTGAAATCAAATAAATGAAATTTCATATGCTTCCGCACAAACTTTATCTAAGATTCATGTTCTTTACTTCTAACCTTGAAATGATGTTGGTGATGCAATGCATTAGAAATTGAATGAACTTGTAACCTTGTAAAATTTTGACATTTCAAGTTCCCTTACCAAACTTAACCTTTTCTTCTGACCTTTCGATAAATTGGATGCATCGTTATGTTCAAGTGTCTTCAAATAAATGGATGAAACTTGTAATTCCAAACTCAAGAAATGAAACTTTTGAATCCACCCACTTTGAATCTCGAAAGAATTGAAGAACTATGCCTTAATTTCCAAGCGACATGACTTCTTAGGTTCCAAATAATTCACATGAATGGACTTTAATTTTTGAATCAATTCTTGAGAAGAACATTTAATGAATTCAAGAAATATCTTATGGCTTGAACAACTAGTAAACTCAACACAAGAAAACAAACTTCTTAAGAAATCATGACTCTAATTGAAAATAGAGGTCAAGAAATGGCCTATAATGTTTCAATATAATTTACGGCTTTCTGAATGCATTTGACTTTTGATCCTCGGAGCAAACTTGTAGAAGGCATTATTTGTGATAAGTTGCAAAAAGAATTGTATCAAAACTTCAAAAATTGAGGAAGTTAAGATTCTTGGGAGTCAGGAAACAGTTACTTGAGATTAGGTCAAAGTCCACAAAATGAACTCTCAAGTATTCGAACTTTTGATGATCCTCCGTACATAATCAGCTCTTGACTTGTAAAGAGCAGTTGGAGATGACGTCAAGGAGA